GCCCGGCCGCCCAGCCGCCCAGCCGCCCAGCCGCCCAGCGCGATTGGAGCGATTTCTTCGACGAGAGTCTGCAGTCTGGGAGGTGAGTTCCGCGAGGGCAGAGGGAGAACGGAGCAAAGGAGGTCGCCTCCCAGAATCCCTGGGCTCCTCAAGCAAAGAGGCTGGACGAGGGCGCCCACCGGTGCAGCAATGACGCCCGACCCCGACCTCCCTGCACTTGCAAAAGCGACCGCGCCGTGGGTCCGAAGCCCGCGTGGAAGTGCTGACGCTGCAAAACGGAGGTGTCCGGCCGCACAACTCTGGTTTCTGAGAAGTGACCCGCGAAACCCGAAGTCACCAAAGGAGAAACAGATACGTTGAACGTCAGAATTCAAAACTCGGGCGCTTCCGATGACGCCGCTGAGAAGAGACAACCCGCGGAATGAAAGAAAGCATTTGCAAGGCATATGCCGGATACGGCGCTTGTATCCAGAGTAAAGAACTTCCAACCCAATTAAAAGACAGATTACTGCCTAGCCGATTTGGCTCGGTGGATAGAGTGTTGGCCTGTGGACTGAAAGGTACCGGGTTCGATTCCGGCCAAGGGCACATGCCCGATTGCAGGCTTGATCCCGTGCAGAAGGCAGCCAATCAATGATTCTCTCATTGATGTTTCTATCTCTTCCTCCCTCTCCCTTCCTCTCTTAAATCAAATTTTTATATATGTAAAGACAGATTACTTGTGAACGGGCAAGGAACTCACAGACATGCCACAAAGGAAAATGTCTGATAAGGACATGGGAAGATGTTCAGCATCATCAGGGGTCAGGGAAATGCACCCAGAAAACCACACCTCATAAGCATGCGTGCACACCTGTGCCCATGCACACACACCACTTCCCCACCTGAAGTCCTCTCTCATAGCTTCTTCAGCAGACTTGCCAGTGACCCACCCACCTCTTCTTTGTTAAGGGGTCACTTTGTTTGGGGTTGGCACTGAGCCCCGCTTCATACAAGGCATTTTCCAGCCTCCCTTGCAGCTAGATGTGACCACATGACAAGCCTCTGGCCAGGGAGAGAAGTGGCTGGTGGGCCTGCTGGGAGACCTCGCTGAGGGACATGGTCAGTGATGGCCCCCTTCCTTCTGCATAACCCCTCCCGCCTAGACCACAGGATGAAGGCCAGGTGCTGAAGCGGGCCCGCTGGACGGAGAAAAGGCCCTCCTCCCGCCCAGGGGGCCGCTGTGCTGGGCCCCGCTGCCACCTGTTCTTGTCTGGGCCACCTGCCAGGCTTCCGCTACACGCAGCCAGCCCCATCCTGGGGGCTTGAGGCCAAGTCCTGGAAAGAACCCCGCTGCACTGCCTGCTGGGTCTCAACCCCGGAGCCACCAGAGCGCGTCCGGTCCGCACACTCGCTCGTCGCCCGTCCCCACGCAGCACACGGTGAGAGGAGCAGAAAGAACCAAAAAAGGAAACGGAGCGACTAAGCAAAGCTTGTATCTATTTAATAAGAAAATCATTTCCTTAAAAAAATAGTGTCTTTACACGCTGAGCCGGGACAGATTGGCGGCCGGTTCTCCTGAGGGAAGCTGAGAATGATGTGGGTCTCGAGGTCCTGAGGTTGCGAGGCCGCACCTTGGCTCCCGTCTTGGCGAGGGATGCGGCCGGTGGCGGCTCCTGGTGCACGTGTCTCTGGGGCGTCCCCGCTCAGTCACTGTCTCCGTCCTCTTCGCTGCCTTCCTGGGGGCTGGGGACCTGCAGAGCAGGAGCAGAGGAGCAGCTGTGGGGAGGCAGGCTGCCTGGGGGCAGGCGCTTCCTCCCCGTGCGGGGAGCGGTCCACGGTGCACCCCAAGCCACCTTCCAAACTGCCTTTTGTGGAGTGATGCTGGCATGTATTCTCAGACCAGCTGGGCTCGGGGGGGCAGAGGGGGGTCCTTACAGGCCTCCTCCAAATCCCCAGAGGAGGCAGTGGTGCAGGGGACGTGAAGCCAGGTTCTCCCAGACTGGACAGTGCAGGCCCCTCCGCAGGGTGTGGAGACGGCAAGTGGGCAGCAGCCTGTCAGTGGGACTGGAGCAGAGGGCCTGGTCTAGCCCCTGTCCAGAGCTGCACACCAGCTCCATCTGCCCTCACCGCGCCTCAGGAAATCTATATATATAAAAGCCTCAGCGACCAGCCGATCGCTATGACGCACACTGACCACCAGGGGGCAGACGCTCAGTGCAGGAGCGGACACCACAGGCATGGAAACATGGAACACACTGATGAGTCGAGGCCGGAGAGGAGGGGGGGGGGATTAACCAAAGATCTTATATGCAAACTAGAGGGCTGTGCACGGATTCGTGCACAGGTGGGGTCCCTCGGCCTGGCCTGCGGGGACTGGACCAAAGCATGCTCTCTGACATCCCCTGAGGGGTCCCGGATTGTGTGAGAGTGCAGGCCACATTGGAGGTGGGCCTCTAGTGAATAATAAACAACACTTGACGAGTCGGGGAGTTCACATAAAATTCTGGCATTTTTCTCATTTCTCTTGGGAAAATGTGAGCAGCTCTGCCAACCCCAGGCCCACCGCCAACGTGGCCACCACTGGCTGCTGCCTAGCTGCCGTCACCCCTACAGGTGAACAGGAGCTCTGGGTTTGCTACAGTCTCCACCGATCCCTATTGCCTCCCTGGCCTTGGCTGCCATTCATTAACCTGCCTGCTGCCCCTGTGCACCTACCTGCAGGGACAGTTTACAACTCCAGGTGTGGAGGACGACAATGTATCCCAGATACACTTAGGTCACGGGAAGATACCCCCAGGGAGCCGAGGGGGTGGGGTGGGGGAGGTATCAACCACTGCACCAGCAAGAGAGGGCCTGTGCTGACCAGCACTGCCAGCCCAAGACAGGCGACCTCCAGTCACCGCCACATCACAAATGGAAAGACGCCGCCGCGCGTGTCCCTCATCCAGGGTCACCAAGTGTCGAGTGAGCACTAGGCAGTGTTTCAGGGTCACCAGTCACCTGGTACGTTGCCCCGGCCTGGTTTCTCCCGCTGCTGTGTGACCTGGGGGGAGTGATGTGCCTCTCTGTGCCCCAGCTTGCTCATGGCTACAATGGGCACAGTGACACCAGCACACAGTGGGTCAGAAGCTCAGCCACGGACGACAGACACGGACGAGCATGAGACAAGCTAGGACCAGGCCCAGCCCCGGCGCCTTGGGCACGTCCACCTTGGCCTCGCCCCAGCTGCGCTCCAGCACGTCCTCGGGCGCGTAGCCCTTGACGATGGCCACCACCAGGCCCACCATCTTCCGGATCTGGTGCGTCATGAAGCTCTGCCCCTTGACCTTGATGACCGCGAACTCCATGCCGTCCCGCTCGAAGGGCTCCTCGCAGAACATGTCCAGGACGTAGCGCTGGGCGCTGGGCTCCCGGGGCCCCTTCTGCGAGGTGAAGTTGTGGAAGTTGTGGGTGCCCTTGTAGCAGGCCAGCAGCCGGTTCACCTGCCGCAGCGTGTCGGCGCTCAGCCGGTACGTCTCGTCCTGCGCGTCGCGGTCCTTGTGCGCGAAGGCGAACGTGGGCAGCATGTAGACGTAGGTCCTAGCGTCGCACCTGTTCTTGGAGTTGAAGCCGCCCGTGACGCGCTTCAGTCCTGGGGGCGCGACGAGGACAAAGGCCTCAGACACGCCAGGGCCCTGTCCTGACACTGAACCCCGAACCCCACACCCGCGGGGACACGACGCGGTGTCTGTCAGACCTGGGCTGGCGAGGGGCCGGGGCTCGTCAGGCGCGCCCGGCACTGACCCCAACGTGAGCACTTCAGTCGAGTGAGGCGGGCTTACCCAATATCCGAATGTGAGACGGGAGGTGGCTGTTGATCTTTTCTAAAATGTCGTCAATCAGCCACACCTTCAGGGACACGACCTGCCCAGCTGCGGACACGCCCTGCAAAGGAGGCACCGGGTGTGAGGGGCCGCCTGGGGCCGCCCTGCAGGCACCTCGCAGGGGTGCTTGGGCCGACGGCCCGCGCTAAGGTTACATCTTTCCCCCGAGGAGTCCTGCTTTTAGAGATGCATCCGCAGGGAATGACCAGGCACCAGAACAACGCCCTGTATGCCACGGGGGCGAGGGCCGCGTGACGTATGACATCGTGTAGATGGGAACCAAAGTCCCGCTCGGAGGTGACCCTCGGCCACTGCGGGAAATGGCCATGCAACTCAGGTGACAGAACGGTGAGGCGGAGCAGGGGATCCGTGGACCGTGGAAACCAGATGACACGCCGCCTACCTTGTCTGTGCGGGCACACCGCTGGAACGACATCTTCCTCATGTCCTCGCCGTGGTTCTCGGGAATACAGCCCGACCGGACCAGGGCCGACACCAGGTCATCCTCAATGGTCTTGAATTGCGAGGACCCGACATT